AGGCACCCTGGTTCAAACACATGATCGAGATCTGCTAGTGCATTTGTGGGACATTGGGCATACCCCTATACGAATTAAATATTTGGAAACATATTTGGTTATTCAGACAAAGAGGTTACTGCTGAAATTTGTGATGGTTTTTTTTAATGGATTTCAACTGGAGAATACAGGCCCCCGCATTCACTCTTTTATAAAAAAAATTATTTCAGCGGAACAAAATAAGGAAGAAACTTTATGAAAGTTGCAGGATAAAGTAAATCGTGGCTTAATGTTGGAGTCTTTCAAAGTCATGCCTATTTCGACCCTTCGCATAAATCCTATTGATCTTGTGTCCAAATCAGATAGAAGCTTATTACAAATCTATCTTTTCCGTCAGGTAATGGTATTAATTCCTACATTGATCCTGCATTTTGCAAAGTGAATCATATTTCGTGAGCCAGTATTTAAGACAAACTTTAGGATTGCGACTCTTCATTAGAACTGGCTAAAATCGACGTTAAGTCTGCTTTCCGCAATTGAAGAATAAAGTAAACAGTTATGATGACATGTCTCAAACATTTGTGGTTAGAAAGCTTTTAGAAGGTATTAAGCGCTAGAGGCGGAAGAGAACCGATTTACGTTTACCAATAACTAGATTACTGTTGAAATCAATCATTGTTTCCTGATCTTGTGTTTGCTGTACGAATTTTGTTTGTTTTAAAACTGCTTTTTCACTTGCTATCAGTGGATTTCTTAGGGTTCGAGAATTAGTTTTTACCAATGGTTTACACAGCCTTACATTACTGATAACAGACATTAAGGTGGTAGGCAGTTTGCTTCAGGTATGCATTTCTTCGTCCAAAACAAATCAGTTAGGCAAATGTTAAAATATTTTGGTTCATTCTCAGTTAGATCTGATGATTTTTTTCCCGTTAAATTGGTAGAGCAGTTTATTAAGTTGAGGTGCCCTGTTTTGGGGTTCTCTCTTCTGTCATTTTGATGGTAGTCCTTTTTCTCGGCATCAGTGTATGTCGTTATCTAAAAAGTAAATCCGTGTATCTGGTATTGACCAGAACAGATATAGTTCATACTCGTTTCGTATTGGCGCAGCAACCACCATGTCAATGGATGGAGTACCAGATTGTGTAATGAGGTTAGGTCGTTGGAGTTCTAATGCATACAAGGGTTATATTAGAATTTAGTTCAGAAGTGATTATGCATGTATTAAAACTTTTTTGTATGTTATATCTTTCTACATTTATGTAGCTAATTGCTATCTAAGAATTGTAGAAAACCATGTGAATGTTTGGATAGTTGGATCATCTTTTATCAAGAAAGCTTTTCTGGCAGCAAGAGCTCGTCAAGATGGGGTTAATTTAGGACTAGAGCATTTAAATATTTCGGTGAGGTGACAGGTTAAATGTCAACTTTGAATAATGAGAAATTTCGAGGATCCACCGCATTTTATAATACGTCATTTAGCTGGTAATGACCTTGGAAATAGTAAAGTTTGAGAAATGAAATTAAGAATGTGATTCGGTCGATTACGCAAAAGTTCCAAAACACGAAATAAGTATGGTCTCAAATTTTGACCCGTTTAAAATGGCGTTACCTAGATAATCGTAATGCCCTGCAACTTTGCCGATATAGGATCAACTATTCTGTAGCATCCTTTTGGATTCGCTGTGGGCGACATTATATTAAATACCCTGATATTCGCCCAGTTCATTTTTTTTTAAAACCTGATGAAATTCACTAGTCGCCGCTTGAAAATGATTTGCTTTGCTGCAAATTACAAAGGCTTATAATTTGAATGTTTTTGTTTTCTCAATCTGTTCATACTATGTAAATTAAATATTAATATGTTGTAAGGATTCATTCACAGTTAATAAAAACATGGAAATATTTGACATTGGTTTTGATAATCTTGTAAAAATGAACGGCTCTAATTGGCTGTGTACTAGTATTGTTTGTGTGTATGCGTGCATGCCTATATGTGTATGTGTGCATGCATATATTTGTCTGTGACTCACTTGTGTGCTGTTTTGTAATTGTCTTGTATTTTGTGAAGAAAAACACTAGTAATATGTGGGCTGCTGTCAAGCCTTGTTTAAAGAAACAAAGCATTAATTTAAAGAAATTAAAATTCATAAACACACACATGAATTATACAGAGTGCTTTAATAATATTGGTTTTCAATATTGAAAGAGGGATTTTCTAGTAGTCTACAAATATTTCACGAGATCCTGAAATGTTGCTTATTCTTCTGTATCAATCAGAGGTTTTGATTTTTATGAGGTTATAACAAGCGGCCTTTTTTTCATTGTACAGCAAGAGACAAACATTTGTTTCATATAACAAGTTATGGTTAGAACATATTAAATTCAGTATTGACATGTTCACAAGGTATTTTTCTATAAGTTTTTGTTGATTTTCTACATGGTAATTTTTTTTATGCGATAGATAAAAAAAAACAATTTATGACACAACCGGACATATGATAATCAAATGCAAATTTCATTTTTAAATGACTGTTTTGTTTAAACGTAGAAAAAAAATAAAATTAAAGTCTTTTCGTACTTTAATTGAAACGAAAATAAGGTAAATACAAATTAAAGTGTGTATATATTTTGTGGTAATTTTGATGTCCGCTATTTTCTCCTTCAATTCATCATTACTTAAGTTTTGATTATGGTCGACTTTCATTGCAAGATTTATCAAAATATCCCATGTCAACCACTTCTCATCTTCGCGAGCCAAGGGTTACGATTTACTTCCCTCCTCTCCATGGAGAGGAGGGAAGTGGATCGTAACCGTTGGCTAGCGAAGATGACCACTTCTTTGATAGTGGCCAATTCAGGCACGAACTGGTACAATCTTCAATCTAGTCAGCACTTCTGTATTGACATAAATTATCGTTCTTATGGTAATCATTATAAATTGACTGTTTACAAAACTTTATATTTTTCCAAAAACTAAGAATGTTCTATCCCAGGAATAGATTACACTAGCTGTATTTGGGAAGGCTTTCTTGGATCCTCAATGCTCTTCAACTTCGTATTTTGTTTGGCCTTTTTTAACGTTTTTGTTTCGAGCGTCACTGATGAGTCTTTTGTAGACGAGACTTGCATCTGGCGTACACAATTTTAATCCTGGTATCCATGATGAGTTTATCTACCAAAATCCCTCAAGGCGTGCAGCATACTGATTAGAATCCCTATCCTTAGTAACAAATGGCCTGCCACTCAACTGTCTCATACTGTCACCAGAGAAGAAACTATTTTTTTACATAAGTATAGCAGTTGATTCAATTGCTTATGTATGGTCTAATAATGCCCATTTCACAATGGTGCACTTTTCACTCTCACACTTCACGACAGAGTAACAAAAGTTAACATACAAATTACTATTATCGTTTTCAAGAATTTGATCGATACTCACATTATCTAAGTTTACATGTTAAGTCATAAATTGAATATTGTCGATAAGCACATATTCACAATATCTAAGTTTACATGTTACGTCATCACTATAATATATATCCTGAGATGTTTACTGTTTGGCCATTGGTTCATTTCCTGTTTATAAAATGTTGAATTATTCTAAACACAAAGGTTTTCTACCCCCCCCCCCCCCAAGCATAGATAGCCTAAGTCGTATTGGCACAACATATCTGATTTTTCTATTTAATGCTCTTTAACTTCAGATTTGATGTGGTCTACCAACTGCTTTGATTCGAGCGCCATTAATGAGTATTATGTATAACAAGAATGTTTCCACCCCACACGCACTATCATTTTCTATTTTCAGTGGACCGTGAAATTGGGGTCAAAACTCTAATTTGGCATTAAAATTAGAAAGATCATATCATAGGAACATGTGTACTAAGTTTCAAGTTGATTGGACTTCAACTTCATCAAACACTACCTTGACCAAAACTTTAACATGAAGCGGGACAGACGGACGGACCAGAAAACATAATGCCCCTACTACTATCGTAGGTGGGGCATAAAAATGGCGCTTTTAGAGTACGAAATTATAAGCCTGGTATCTTTGATGAAATTTCGATACTTGTAACTGGAATTTACTATGGAATCGTTTGTCGTAATGTGCACCTAGTATGCGTTAAAGAATTTTAAAAGTTGCAACTATGATTATAAATAGTGAATAAAGATCGATTGTTCTGATTATTGAGTATTTTAACGGTGGCGAATTAGTCGTGATGTTTTTATTTAATAAAATATCAAGTGAGAAAATCAATGTGTTAAATGACCTCGGACACCGTCATTTGTGTAGACAACCTAATATGAATTTAGTACAAAAATTTATAATTTTATTGATGTGAAGCTGGTAAAAATAACCGGTATTTAAAATTGAATTGATTTCTATCGGCATGATCCCATTTTATGTGGTCCACCCACCCCACCCTACCTATGCATCCTAATGATTTTTCTAACAGAAAAAGAAATATAAGGAAATAATCCAATCGCACTTTTTTTTTCGGAATATGATATTAGTAATTTGAAATAAACATTTATTAAACGCTTATGTTCAAACCTTTCATTCAACTATTTATGTTTTGTATTGCGTAAACACATCATATTAAATCGCGTACTTTTAATTTAATGTATAACCACACCATGCACATGAAAACAAATAATGAAAGAAGAATTTCATTTATTATTGTATAAAGTTATCATATACAGATAACTTCTTAATTCAAATTTGCGCATTCTTAAAAAATATACATATTTTTGCCCACAGATGAAATATTGTGACACAACAGGAAGACATATTCCTACTTCGCTGTAAAACTGAAAGAACTCCTTGAATGACCCGCTGAAAGATACATTTGCATGCTTAGTATATTCGAACTTTCCAAAAAGAATACTGAAATTAATCATAATTATGATATTGATAAGAAGCGAAAGAAACGGAGTGCTGATGATCAGTATATACAAAGAATTTTACACCTGTTAGGAAGTATCTTATTTCATTTTTCAAGGTTACATTTCTAGTTTATTAACCATTACCTAGAACGCTGTATCAATTAGTTTACCGATATCGAGAGAAAGCGATTAGTTCTGCAAATAGTTGCACTACATTTTTCAGTGGGAGTTTACAAATTTGAAAAGAAACAGTATAACACAATTCAAACGTAAGTTTTTATTTGTTTAATTACATTAATTCACATTAACTTAGAAGTCACATTATGTTCATGGACTAAACATTGTTTAGTGTTTGCATCATATAGACTGACACGATGAATTGCATTCATTATTAAACTCGGAGCGTTAAAGTGCTACACGTGTTGTAAAGTCATCTTTCCTTTGGTTAAGACTGCATGATGCTCTCTAAATCTCTTTTGGTTATTTGTGCCGTTGGATTCTTGTTTCAATGACGTATAACCAACATCTCAAACCCAAGCATTCGAAAGCCAGGGATGTTTTAAAAACTTAAATACGTTGGTAGCTACGTGACAAAAAGTTACATAAAAAGAATAGCCAAATTAGTCTACGGTAAAATTTGCCCGATGATGTTCGAACCTTCGTTTCTTAGTAATTTCATAAATTAATCAATGGGGAATTGTATAAATATATGTTAAGACATAAACACTGATACGCTTTACAGAGGAAAATGGACCCTCTGTTACTCAGACTAATACTTTTAATTTGTTTATTCTTAAAGTTTCATTTATCATTTACATGTCATCTTGATTTATTTAATGAACTATCAATTTAGAGTCCGATATACTAAGAAAGTCTTTTAAAGGCGTTTTTGTACATAAATGGATACTGCGTAATAAGATATATAATTGTTTATAAAAGATTTCCACTTTGAATAAGTCGGCAGTTAACCTACCGTAAATAAAATGTCATAACCACCAATTCAAAACCCCTAAATAATCAACCATATTTTTCACAGGTCTCTAATACTTAAAAAGGTCAAGTATAACTTCATTATATTGATTTGGAAGAAAGGCCGACATAGTTTGTTGCACTATTACTAACACAATTCTATATTAATATTCTTGTAATTATTATAAAATACATCAAATAACATAATTAGAAACCTAATCTTGATTTATATTCAATTTTTAGAAATTTACCTGTGACGTTACTTTTTGTGGCGTTGATTCATTCGTGTTACAGACACACACTTCGTAATTCTATTAAGCTGTTTTTTTGTACTGTCCTAAATTATTTTAGTTGTTCGTTGTTATTCTGTGGTTAACATGTCGAAATGTACTATTATATTATTTATTTATGTATTTCTCTGTCTTTGTTGTTTTTGCATTTATTTGTACTCTGTTGTTGTCATTTTAGCGGTATATTTAACATTGTCATAAAGCGCGGAGGTTTGGCTAGCCACAACACCAGGTTCAACCCACCATTTTGTCTTAAAATGTCCTGTACCATGTCAGGAATATGGCAGTTGTTATTTATTAGTTCGTTTCTATGAATGTTGCATTGTTGTTTGTTTTTTGTTGCACTTCTGTGTTCTGTTATTTCGTTGTTTTCCTCTTATAGTTGATGTGTTTCCCTCGGTTTTAGTTTGTAACCCGGATTTGTTTTCTCTCAATCGATTAATGACTTTTGAACAGGGGTACACTACTGTTGCCTTTATTTATTCATTAGCACCATGTATTTCCTAAATTGTACATGTATCACCTTTCTATATGCCAATTTCCAGCCCATGTTTAATGTCTTGAAAAGAAACATAAAGTCATCTAGTAATCGGGATTTTTTAAAACCTTCATAATATGTAGCTAACCTACCCTTAAGTTTTATGGCAATTTCATGGACAAGTAAATTTGGGCTCACAATAGCCGAAATATATTTCTCATTCAGCAAAAGTTTCGTTCATGTAAATGTATGCTAATTGGTTGAATGTGTGGTGTTAACACCGTCAGGAAATAAATATAATTGCATATACAGACTATATGTATGTGTTCCGGACCATATGATTATGGTCATGACAATATGCGTATGGTCCGGGTATGAACATGATTAATGTTGGAAAAGTATCATAAATTGTAAAAAATATAAATTTTAATTTATCTAATCAGATGGTAATCATTGTTCAAGATTCATGAAATAAATTTAATTTTACTTTCAAGTAAGAACTATTGTAAAATTATTTCTACACATTAATTATCGTTTTGCCCTCACAATACACTATTTATCGACTTTGGAAAATAACTGCCAAAAAATATCTAAATGAACTGTTAAGCAAGAAGTCAATTGTTCTACTCACAGGAACTTAGGTCATTGAACCCGCTTTCTCTTTTTTAATTTATTTTGGTGTTTAAATGTGTCTTTAGTAAATTAAAATTTCTAAAAATGTTCAACTGTCTAGTTATTTAAAGTGATCTTTCTCCTATTTCTAAGTCATACGATCTTACAGTTATTGTAAGATCGTATGATTTGGAATCGGAGCACAAAAATCAAATAAACATCAGTAGAAATTAAAAGATTTTTTTTAGATAGTCAACGGTGGTTTTTTTTCAGGCAATATGTCAACAGTTAGGAAATCCAGTTAGTAGATTGTGCCGATTTGGATTCGGAGAATGAGCTGTGTGTTCCTGCGAAGGAAGTTAGAATTTATTATAAAAAAAATACCTATATGGTCTAAATACTCATATGGTTCAGCCCGTTAAAACCCAAACGAGTATATACTCATATGGTCTGGCCATACGAGTATGCGCATATAGTCATGACCATACGCGTATGGTCAAAATACTCATATGGTCCGGAACATTTATATATTTACACACATATATATAATATCGTTCTATTACAGAATGTGAACTTTAAAGCCATACAAGCCAACATATTTCACAACATTTAAAATATGGATAGATTAAAGTTTTAATTGATTAATTTATCTATAGTTTGATATTCATATATTATTTTTTCATTAAATTCTTTTCTTTTACTACTATCATAAAAACTGTGAAATACAAGCGAGTTGGGCTATCAGAAAAATCTTTAAAAACATTGACATGCTTTTCATACAATTGAGTTCTGTTAGGATAACATGATAAACTTGGTAATCAGATTGTAGATTTCCGAATTTTTTAGAAAAGATCCCCCCTTTTTAAATAAGTCAACAGTTAACTAAACGTAAGAAAGTGGAAAAAGGCTCATATCTACATTTTACAATCCATTTTCTTCCCCAACAGGAGTGTATTGATTTTTTAATTTTATTTTCTCTTTCTAACAAACAAGTACCGTCTGTTCTATCCGGAAATCTTTTTAAATTTTAAAAGTGTTTTCGTACAAATAAGTGCGATAACTTTTGATTCCGGATATTCAGATTATAGGTTTTTACAGTTTTAATTGTTTATAAAACAGGGTACGGTCTTTTCTAGGAAATTCAATTGTTCACCATTCATGAATAGGGGAAGCAAATGATTGACTTGTTAATTTAACAAATGCTTTTGTCTTCCCTGACAAGTCGATGAGTGTGTAGCAAAGTAATATATATACACATTACAACTGATAGAATTAATTCATTCAGTAATAAAATACTAACATAGAAATACACTATAAAACAGTCTTGTGCAATTGAATAAGATTGGAATAAGATTTATTGCATTTATTCATACGTAATCGACCAATAGAGTTATCATATCAGGAACTGAGGTAAATTACTTAAATTACTTTCGTTCTTAAAACGGCTCTTATTTATTTCAATATTTGAATAGATGTTTTGCGTTGTACAATCACCTTCTATTGTTCGAACAGAAACATTTTTCAAGTCAGTTACTGTAACAAGGGCGGTAAGTTTTAATATTTTACGAACATCATCATGATATAGATGACCGTTATCGGATATCCATTAAAGATAAAAACGGAAATGTTCAATTTTATCGAAACCACAGCTTATTCTTCCGTGTAGTGTTTAATGGACTATTGCTTGTTCACTTTGAAAGGTGCCGTTTAACTTTCGACATGTTTTTTGAAGTGTTCGCATTGGTATCTTCTTAGAAAACTTTGTGTCGGAGACAAAGCCATTTCAAAATTTCTAAAAGTAATAAAATGAACGGAAATTATATGCAGAAGATTACCTAGACAAGCAATTAAAAGGTTATCAGAAATCGAAAATCCAAGGGGACAACCCAAGGTCAAAATAAATGAAAATAAGTCAGGACAGACATTCAACACAGCTGTTGTCTGTACATTCGAACAAACAGAAACAAAATAGAATAGGTAGAAAAAGCTAGAACTTTGAAAATACAGGCATGCAGAAACACGTCAATTGCGTAGCATTCTCCGTAATCATGACAGTTTAATAGGATATGGTGCTCCCCATACCTTATTCTTAAAATAGCACAGTCTTCAAATCCATTGATTAGTGAAATTCAGTATGGATAGTAAGTGGAGAAACTTGTCTTGGGTCAATATTCAACCATTTTGCGAGACCCTCGCATCATAGCGGTCTTACATGTATACATTTATAACTCGCGACAACTGGCATGTAACTTCCGTATTGTGTTCATCTACTGATCATGCCTGTGGCAGTTTTTAACCTTATATAATGTTTTTTTTTGTATTGTTCGGTTGATGTCTTGTTAGTAGTTATTATGCTATATCTTCTTGTTTTGACTCCATGACAAAAACGTTTTGGAAATTATGTTTTCTTTGCCGTCCAGGGAACGACCATTGACACAGGGGGATGGGGAGGGGTCGGTTGGCTAAAAAAAACATAAAACTTAGAAGAAAATCATATTTTGATCAAGAAGGAAATCATTATCGGATCTATAGATTTTGCAGTTAGATTCAATGTTAAGGTGATCAGGAGTATACACCAATACTCCAGTGATCGTCTATCTAATATTGCCACCAGCAGACTTCTTATAATTTGAAATTTGTCTAAAACCTTTTGTCACGAAAAACGCTTGAAAACAACTATGAGGAAATAGAAGTGATCACGAATAAATATGTGGATTAAACGTCAATTAGATAGCAACTCATCAAAAAAAAAAAATAACCATTATAAATATAGATGGCAACACACAGTCTGTTAACATTGAATAGGTGTCTATATTCAATATTTAAAGCCCTAAATAGGACGATCCCGAGTGGTACCGTTAATGTTATTAATTGAAACAATCACAGAGCTGCCATTTATCCCAATTATCAAAATAACGAAAAGCGTTAAGATATGACAAAAACCTATCGATGTTACAAGTAGACTCAAACCAAAATCCACTAGAGACAACACATCTATGAGGCATATTCCCTTGGCACTAAAAGCCAAATGGCAGTTCCCAAAATCGAATGTCTTACGTTTTAAATGAATAAATGTTTGATCTTTTATCCACGAACAAAATACTGTTTGCCTTTAAAGCTATTAATAAAACATCTGCTTGCAATATTAAACACTTTAAACAGTCATTTCTAAAAGAAAACCTTCTGAGCTACTTATACTTTTCATTGAAATTGCAAATACGGTAATCAACTCGTTCAAGAATCTATCATTTTGGAATGGAAGTTAAACAATTGATGTCCTATATAAGGAGATTGTTGTCCTTGCAATTATTCGCAAAGGTCTACAATCGGCCGAAGGATAGTCAATATATATAAACTACCTTTTTTTACCAAAGGCAGCTAGTCCAAATTTTCCGCATTTCATTCAAGACGAATCACTTTTTAAAACATTCCCAAATAATTTCTTATTACAAAATGTAAATTTGTCCTCGACCTAAATTTTAGAAATATTTACCACTGGACGCAAATTTTATCATCAATCAACGTTAAAAAGCTCTTACTACCATATATTTTTTCTAAATATTTTTCCCTCACGGGTGACTGGGGAAATGAAATATGGTCGATCTTGGTCTTCTTCCGACCGGCAGTGAAACCCTTGCCAAAGTGGGTCGTCCGTTTGGCTATGCGGGATGCACAAGTTCGCAGCCACGTCCGGTCAGAATGAGGAATTTAAATCCGATGCCTCGTTTACAGAAAAATCCACGCTCTTTCCACTTAAGAATCCTTGCCACAACTCATTGGGGAGTCCGTAGGTGGTCTGTTGCAAGGTAAAATGCCTGTCCCTATGCAATATACTCTCATTTTCCAGTGGCATCCCAAATTATCCCAACCTTCATCCCAGACGTCCTCTATTACAAACCTATCTCTTGTTAATTTGTTCTCATCCTGAACATGCATGAAATATTTGTCACTAGACGTTAAGCAACCAATCAATTTCAATATTTTCCTTTCCAGGGTTTACCTATAAGATGCAGATTCAACAAATTCAAGATATACAACTTCATCCTGGTAAAGCAAATTTTGATATCAAAGGTTGCACACTAAATGGCGACAAACTTCTATTTACCGACAAAGGTAATAGTCGGATAATAATACACAATGCAACAGGCCGACACGTTGAAGACATTCCTCTTTCAGCAGAACCATTCGATATTACAACCATAGATGCTGATAGTGTAGCCGTCACTTTTGGTAGGAAGCAGTATTTTGAAATTATAAATATCAATACCAAAGCCGTTACTAAAATACCAGCTGACGGAAACAGCTGGGGAATTACGTGTGAGAATGGAAATTTGTACATGATCGTCGACGGCCATGGAATCAATGTCGCCATTATGACGCCATCAGGGGAACCTATAAAAAAGATACCGGTCAGCACAGACTTTGACCAAACAGAATATATGGCAGTTATCGGAAACAGCATTTTTTTCACAGTATTTATCCCTAAAAACCTTGTATGCATGGATATACATGGTGCTATCCAATGGCAGTTTAAAAAGAGCATTTTTAACCAGCCAAGGGGAATAACTACTGACACTCTTGGAAACATTTTTGTCGCAGGATTTGCTTCACATAACGTGATTGCTGTACAGAAAAGTGGAAGCGAGGGTAGTGAGATTCTCAATAAGAATGAGGGATTAGACTATCCCACATCCATTTATTGTGACAAGATGAATAACAGGTTGCTAGTTAGTAATTTGAACAACGGACTTGCATATTTGTTCAACATAGTTTATAACTAGAACATGTAATATAAATAATGAGCTTCCTGTATAGCTGACTGGATGTCTTTGTATTGTTTTCATTTTAATTTTATGTATTTAAATGTATATTGTTGTCTTTGTTTTATAATTAACAATTTTCAATTAATTGGAGCCATCAATGGAACAGGAACTGCTTATCCTTACGGTGTGCTCGAGTTCGTCCACTTTCCTGTGTGGTTTTTATTGCACAATATTAGTTTTGTTTGTTTTTGTAAACTTAAAAAAATAAGAAAATGTGGTATGATTGCCAAAGAGGCAACTCTCCACCAGGGACCAACTGACTTTGAAGTTAACAACTGTCTTCATTTTTGTTAGTTTGGCCATGATATTGTCTGTTTTTGTTTATTTTACATCATGTTATATGAATGCTCCCTTGGCGTAGGGGAGTTGCCCATTTTAATGTAACTGGGATGTCGTGCAAGGTAAAATGTTTCTGAACAAAAATATAATTGTTTTATGTATTATTTTGAAAACTGCATTCTACCATGGTCACTAATGCATGTCCTTATCCAGTTTTCTATAGTCTGTTAGTTTTTTTAATTGTTGCAAAACTTTGTTATTAAACCAGAACATAAATATTATTAACGTCCAGCTGCAAATATTTCATATGTTTTAAGGGGTTGAAACAAATTTAGAATAAACGGGCTGTGGGTCGATCGGAATGAAGGGTGGGAAATTATGACTGCCACTGGAAAATTCTCTAGTGCATGTTGGATAGGGACAACACTTGTTGCCCAATACGTGGCACTAACAATACACGAGGCATCTGATTTAATGTACCGATTCCGATCGGACGTGGTTGTATAGTTATAAATCTCGCACAACCAAACGAATCCTTCTCATTAGCATGGGTTATAGAGTTAAATTCAGTAAATAACAAGAAATGATTGTAACAGGATGCTGTTACGAAGTCTCCCAAACAAAGCGCCCATAATTCGTAATTCCCAGGGTCGCCTGACATTGGGCAACGTCCAGTGAAAATTGGTTTGGTCCAGTAAAGTTATATGCATTAGGGGTGCCTGTGGACTAACCTTGTATATCATTCAAATCATCTTGGCATGACAAACCAGAATATATATGGTTTAGGGGTGGGGATCTCGACCATTTACAAGATACTAGAACATTGGGGGTGGGGAGGAACCCCTGGGGACTGGCCCTATACGTCATTCAAATGTTCATTACATGACGAACAGGAATATATATGGTTTAGGGGTGGGGATCTCAACCATTTACAAGATATTAGAACATTGGGGGTGGGGGAACCCCTGGGGACTGACCATATACGTCATTCAAATGTTCGAGACATGACAAATAGGAATATATATGGTTTAGGGGTGGGGATCTCAACCATTTACAAGATATTAGAACTTTCTCAAATGGCAGGGGGTCAGGATGACCCCTGGGGACTAACCCTGTATTTCATTTGATGTGCTTTATCATGACAAACCAGAATATATATGGTTTAGGGGTGGGGATCTCGACCATTTACAAGATATTAGAAACTTTCTCAAATGGCAGGGGGTCGGGATGACCCCTGGGGACTAACCCTGTATATCATTCAAACCATCTTAGCATGACAAACCAGAATATATATGGTTTAGGGGTGGGGATCTTGACCACTTACAAGATATTAAAACTTTCTTAAATGGCAGGGGGTGGGGGTGACCCCTGGGGACTAACCCTGTATTTCATTTGATGTGCTTTATCATGACAAACCAGAATATATATGGTTTAGGGGTGGGGATCTCGACCATTTACAAGATATTGAAACTTTCTCAAATGGCAGGGGGTCGGGATGACCCCTGGGGACTAACCCTGTATATCATTCAAACCATCTTAGCATGACAAACCAGAATATATATGGTTTAGGGTGGGGATCTTGACCACTTACAAGATATTAGAACTTTCTTAAATGGCAGGTGGTGGGGGTGACCCCTGGGGACTAACCCTGTATTTCATTTGATGTGCTTTATCATGACAAACCAGAATATATAAGGTTTAGGGGTGGGGATCTCAACCATTTACAAGATATTAGAACTTTCTCAAATGGCAGGGGGTCGGGATGACCCCTGGGGACTAACCCTGTATATCATTCAAACCATCTTAGCATGACAAACCAGAATATATATGGTTTAGGGGTGGGGATCTTGACCACTTAGAAGATATTAGAACTTTCTTAAATGGCAAGGGGTGGGGGTGACCCCTGGGGACTAACCCTGTATTACATTTGATGTGCTTTATCATGACAAACCAGAATATATATGGTTTAGGGGTGGGGATCTCGACCATTTACAAGATATTAGAACTTTCTCAAATGGCAGGGGGTCGGGATGACCCCTGGGGACTAACCCTGTATATCATTCAAACCATCTTAGCATGACAAACCAGAATATATATGGTTTAGGGGTGGGGATCTTGACCACTTACAAGGTATTAGAACTTTCTTAAATGGCTGGGGGTGGGGGTGACCCCTGGGGACTAACCCTGTATTTCATTTAATGGGCTTTATCATTTAGAACATTTTCAATTAAAAAGATTGTGTCTATCACAAACGGTTTTCAATTTATAATCATTTGAAAATTTAAAAAAATTAAATCCCATATGGTTCTATAGTAAAACCCTCTTTTCTGTTTGCCCCTCAAAGTACCCCTTTATAAACCCCATTGCACAAACAAAACCCTGATTGCACCACTAGACATGTTAGTCTAACATATTGTGAAACCCTAAGTTAATCTGACAAGCGGTTTTGGAGAACGGGTGCGGACAAGTTCAAATTTAAAAGCGGCGGAAGAAGAAGAAGAAGAAGAAGAAGAAGAAGAAGAAGAAGAAGAAGAATAATAAGAACTGAGCAAAAACAATAAGTCTTCCCAAACTTCGTTTGGGAGACTTAAATATATGTCATCAAGTACAGCCAATTTGGGGGGGATAGCTTTCAGTAGTAAATTGAAGACATGTGCTGCACTGATTGGTAGATCAAGTTTTCAATTAATGTTTTTTGAATAGATGGATCAAAACTTAAGTTCTAAAAAAATAAAATAAATAATACTGAATGCATTTAATTTTTTTTACTACATGATTGAAAAGTGATGGGGTCATTGTAGGAATAGAGTGCGAATTTACAGTGTGTTTGTAAACAAAGCCACGAGGACGGCCCACAAATGCCGCATGACCCTATGTTTAACTGGTTGCAAAAGATTGGGCGTCATTTGTACTTTAGTGAAAGCTTTTAGTTTCTAAACGTACAAATATGTATAAATTTAATTGAAGATATAGGTTTACATTGAATGGGAGATTTTGTTACACCTATATTGCCGGATGTAAAACATCCGGATGAACATATTGAACTTCATGCAAAAAGAAAATATGCTAGACCAGGAAGATCCTTCTCATTCGCATGGGTTATTCTGTAGGATGTGAGACGTCCGGTTGAACTTATGCAAAATGAAATAAGAAAGATCAGGAAATTATTTCTTGAAAATGTCTTCTTCAGTGACAGGATTTGATATTGAATACATTTATAAGATTGGTAAAAGAGAGGCGAAAGATACCAAAGGGACATTTAAACTCGTAAGTCGAAAATAAACTGACAACACCATGGCAAAAAAAAACAATACCAAAAGACAAACAACCGTTCACAAAACACAACATAGAAAACTAAAGACTGAGCAACACGAATCCCACCATCTCAGGTGCTCCGGAAGGGTAAGCAGATCCTGCTCCACATGTGGCACCCGTCGTGTTGCTCATGTAACTATAAATCCTGTGATAAGTCTAATTCGGTATATCACATTCGTGGAAAAGGGGACGGGATTGTGGTTACGACAATTGGAACATATCCGTCGTCATATGTGAAAATTGTAACTGTATTGAAAAAATCTGCTAATAATTAAATTATATCGAAAAAGCATTTCTCTCGCTTTAACCCATTTAAACATCGGCCGATCGGTTGTTTATTTTTTCATAAGTAATCTGTGCTTAGCTTGTCCTAAGACTACATTGTAGCTAACTCGATACATCGGTATTTATTTCTAGTGACAGCAATACTTAATGGGAGGGAAACTTGAGAACCAGTACCACAGCATATCGCCTGGGAACGAAAATCCACGCTTATTATAATCTAAAACTATTTTCGTCAAATTGACTATGTTGACAGCTACCCTTTGCTCAGTATAATGCGTTACAATGGTAACTACATCACTTCGTAACCCTATGAACGAAGTGATGTTGCTACTTTGACCAAAAAGCTTTTATTGTATACTCAACTGATGCAGCGATACAAATTTTAGTATTCGAAACTTTTGAACAAGAGTATATTGATGTTGCATCTTTGATTTGTTTATTGACTATTGGTTGCATAACGTCCAGTGTCAAATATTTCAGGACAAAAACAAAGTAACAATAAATTCAATAAGGTTAGTTTTGCAAAGTGGGTCTACAGGGATGAAGGATGGGTATTTCAACTGCCAATGGAAAGCTTGATATGGACAAAGTTTGCCTTGCAGCAGGACAGCATCAAAGAGCAGGAATTCCTTCACGTGTAGGGAGCATCGTAGTCTTCCTACGCGAGACTATGGATTTCAAGTTTTTATTCCGACTTTGTATTTATACATCGCGCACTATCATTATGTAACCCAACTGTAAAACACATTGTGAATAACGGCATGTAAAAGCACTTACTCTTACACAAGAGTTTGAGAGTCCTTGATTTCGACATAGAGCGTAGGAATATGCGTAGACAATGCTGGTTCAAGGAAATGTTGAGTTCCGTGCATATGTGATTAAAAATTACAACATATTTTAATAGGATGCTCGCGGTTCTAGTCGATTATGCCATACACGAAACATCGGTCTTTAGCATGAGTTTTCTACCAGAAGTGAGAAGACCGGTTGACCATGTTGAACTTTATACACATGCAAAAGAACATAAGCATGTGTAATTTTGCCGGATGTGAGACGTCCGGTTGTACATATTGAACTTTATGCAAAAAGAACATAAGAAAGATCAGAAAATTATTTCTCGAAAATGTCTTCTCTCAAAATTTTGTAAAAAAAACTTTGAAAAGAATATATTGATTAGAAAAAGATACAACCACTTTTGAATCTTTTATTGA